TCAATGCTTTGAATTTCTATGTTTATTAATAAACAATAAAGCATTTAAAGAATTTTAATTAAAGATTTAAGAAAAGAAACACTGAATTATTATCAATGCACGTGAACTACTCTCTATGCTATCATCTCATGCAGATTATGAGTGTTCATAAATATAAAATAATAATATAGATTATTATTATCAAAACTATCAATTCACAAATCAATGTATGAGGCAAGCATACTTGAAACAAATTTTAAAGAGAAAATTCTTTAGTAACGATTGCTTCACCATTAATAACTATAAATCTTGGCGTATGACATAAGCAAGATAATTAGAGTGCGCAAAAAAAAAATAAACGGGACACTCTGAAAAGCTTTTGATCTATTGATCGGATCTTCACGTTCTAGGATTCGATAGTTTGAGAGGATGACCCCAAATATGCTTATTAATTGGTGCAGACGATATTTTAAGTTGCGAAATCAGACACAAAAATGTACTTTCTCTGAATAAACATAATTTTTTTTGACGGATTCAGATTTTTGACTCCTAAAATATAGGGGACAGTAGCAATCTGGCAAATATGGTCAATTATGTAAAATTGTTCAGTTGTAACAGTTTGATCAAGAGAGTGGTCCAAAGTTTGGACCACTTAATATCGATTTTACTTTTTGGATATTTCTCCATATTTCGATAAATTTTTGAGTGAATTGAAAAATTCTTGCTAACAATTGTAACATTTGTTTAGTCACATATGCAGTCATATATATATATATTTAGATACCATGGAAAAATAAATTTTAGTGAGTATTTATTACTTTTATTATTTTATTTAAAAATGGTAGAAACATTTTAAATTTTAAGGTTGACAATATTTAACTCTATTTTAAAGATTGTAATTTTAAATGGCAAAATACAAAAGTTGAACGAAATTGGCCAAATTGTTCCTCTGAATTTCAGGAAGTTAAGTCCGAGATTTAATTTCTCAGGAAATAGTTCAACGATTTCACTCAAAATTTTTATTTTGCCATTTGAAATTACATCCTTTAAAATGATGTGAAAAACTTACAATTCAACATTTTTCGGTTATTATTATAAAAAATAATAAAAAATATTTACTAAAAGTGATATTTTGTATAGAATTATCTTTGGATAAGCGAATTTTATAGTTATTTCTAAAAAAATTGAATTCACTTCAAAAGTTCTTGAGGTATGGCAAAATACATAAAAAATAAAATTCACATTAAGGGGTCCACACTTCGGACCACTTTCCTGAGTAAAAAATAAGAATTATAAGTTACAGATGCGGCTGCCCCTATATTTTGGGGGTCAGAAATCCGAATTCGTTCAAAAAAAAAGTATGTTTATTCAGAGAAAGTTCATTTTTGTGTCTGATTTCGTAACTTTAAATATTGGCTGCATTAGTTCAGCCGATATTTAAATAGCATATTAGTGATATATTAGTGATAATTAATAAGCATATTAGTGATCACCCCTTTGGACCATTAAGATTAAGTCCTAGAACATGAAAATCCGATGATTAGGATCAATAGTTAGGATGAATAGTGGTCCATTTTTTAATTTTTAGCACAATACACAATATTTAAATTTGATCAAGTTGTTAAGTTACATTTCTATTTAATGTCTATGAGAAGGAGGTTTATGAATGTTTCACAAAACTGTAAGATTTGATAAAAGGTAGGAAATAATAGTTATAATTAATTACAGTTAAATTATATTTAAAAACTTATTTTTATCAGCAATTGCATATAAATCATAATTTATTACCACAAATGTTATCAAGATACCAGATACTTATACTTTACGATTGTTGTTGCTCTTAATTGCAAGCAAATACTTGATTACAAATTACCGACTTGATACAAATTACCATGTATTTAATCAATAGTGAACCACATCTGCAGAGTTATTAATTTTTAAAATAATTATGTCAAAGTCACATAAATAATATTTAATATAAAAATTTAATATAATTTTCCTCTATTTCTTTCAATAGAGATAAGATATAATTTTATGATAAAATAAATGTTTTCCTATAAGAAGAGCAGATGCAAAGATAGTTTCATTTAAAAAAAATTTTCTTTTTTTCTTTTATTAGGTATTTCTTTTTCATTAGGTATTTTCAGGTCTTTTTAAATTATTTCACTCTAATATGCTGAGTGGCAACTAAATACAGCATTCTTCATTTAGAAGATCATTAAAAATAAAATTTCAATCAGAAAACAAGTATTTTACAGACAAATATATAAATATTTGTTATTAAATATAGTGTTATTACAATTATGTACTAACTATTTTCCTACGAAAAATAAATAAATAAATAATTCTTTTATCATAACCAATTAAAATAATGTAACACAATAGTGTCATTACAATTTTATAATTATCATTTTTAAAAATAAAAATTGACATTTAAATGTAACCTAACAAAATATTAAGTTATACATTATTTCATGATTGTGTATTATGATTATCGGTCATAGATAATTTTCTATAAAATTCTTAGCAGCTTTATCATAAAGAGAAAAATAGGAATTTTTGTGTCAAAATTATCTGCGGGTGGAATTGAGATCATATATCACATGCATTTGTAATTATAAATTATAATTAAGTGTGATTGTAGATCAGGGATACAATTAACTATTAATAATTATAACCATGAATTTAAACATAATAAAATATGACTATTTTATGACCCAATTACATTTGTAAAAAAGTTTCGTTTTAACGTTTTTAATTATCATTTCAAGTAATTGATAGCTTGTAATCATGCATAAAATTATCCAAATTTATCTGAATCGAAAATGAATAATTCCAATAAAGCAATATCATTAATTATTTGCAATGTTGCACCGTAGTTTAAAGTAGATTTATAAGTATTAAAATTAAAAAGAAAAATAAATGAATAAAATAAAATAGAAATCATATGTGACTATAAACTTTCGATAAATTGTTTAGCACATTTTTAAGAAGTAATCTTTAGGGAATTTTAATTAAACTCATTTAATATGTGTAAAATATTTTCTTAGTTTATTTCTTTCAATAAATGCGATGCACAATGAAAAAGGATAACTTCGGTCATAAATTGATTTACTTGAAGAGGTCAAAGGTTTAACGGTATCAGAATTTTCATTGTGCATTTTCAAGATGCAATGCATGGTAATACATGATACCAACTTTTGCTGTTGGTAATACATGATATCAACAGCAAAATTACTTTAAGAAATACACCATGAAATGTATGTAACTGCGTATGATTACAGAGCCATATATCTATTACTACTTCTACAGTAACATTGAAAAAGTAGTTTTGTTAAAATCTTTTTACCATTCTCTTCCAAAATATAAAAATTAAGTTACGTTATAAGTTTTACATCTTTTCTGTTCCTTATGAATTTTAAATGATGATTATCCAAATATATATGTTTTTTTAAATAATCATGAAATTGCTTTAATGTTTAAAAAAAAAATTAAAAATTATGTAAATTTGTTATTTTTTTATAGTTTTCAATTTTAAAAAAAATTGAAGTTATAAGTAATAAGTTTTAATCAGTTAAAAACATTAATTAAATGTAAAAAAAAACATTTCTATGGATAAGTTTATCTCTGAAGAAAATATAAGTTTTTTAGCAACGTAGTCTGCATATAATATATAAGCCTATAGATCTAAAAGTTTAAACGATAATGATCTAAAAGTGATACTAAAGAGCAATACTAAAATTTTTTGTTTTTTTATAGAGTGTGTTTTAAAATTTCAATGCATTGTACTTGACCACATAGAGTTAAAACAGATAAATAACTCATATATTAATGCATAAATAATTGCTGAAATGTTTCATAAGAAGCTTATAACTGCTGCATGCAGAATTTTATTTATTCCTATTAATATCTAGAAACATTTGTAAATCATATTACTAACCTCATACTAAACGGGAAATAAACATAAACCACTTATTTATATCATGTATTAAATTAAATATGGTTAACATTTTGTTAAATACTTAAAAATCATAAAGACAATTTTATTGATTTTCAGAATTGTTAAAAAATGATTTTTATGGCAAAATAACAAGATACTGGGATATTAAAAAATAACACTATTTTTTAATATCTCTATTTATTCATTTTAAACGCATTATATATCAGTTAAAAAAGATTTTTGAATTATTTGAAGAAATTCTAACTAGAAAAGTTTGTGAATAGCATAATAGATTTATCAAAAGCCTTATTAATAAAAATTATTATTATTTTATATTATCATTGTTATAATGGAGAAAAATATATTCAGAATAAAATTTATAAGAAATATAATTAGAATTGTATTTTTAAAAATTATGTGCGTGATCGAATTATGGAAATACATAGTCTATGAATAATAAAATAAAAAATAAAGGAAATAAGATTGATATGAAATGAAACTGTCATAAAATAATTCATATGATTTTAATTGGCATGTTACCTTACCAAGAAAACTATTTTAGGTTTCGATTATTATTTCTGTTAAAAGTATGATTAAGAATACTATTATAATAAGAATAATTTATTATTAATATTATTACAACAATAAATGTAATATTATGGTAAAAACAGTACTCATATTATAAATTAATATATATTAGTGATAAAACCATTTGAGAAGGTTATATCTCAATTTATTGAATAAAAAGTATCTCCTAAATTGTACAACGTAAAGTATCGTACATTTTATTACTCTAATATACAGACATGTTATTCGTTAGATTTAAATTAAGAAGAAAGCATTCATAAATTATAAAAGCAATATATTATCTAATATTATATGGTTAGATGAGAAACTTACTGGTTAAAAAAATAAATCTTTAACACGATAAACTGCGTTTAAAAAAGCAAAAACCTTTTCAGTAAATAATTCAAATAAATTTTAAAGAATCTGGTAAATGAAATTCCAGAACGAATTTCAACGATTTACCTATTATATATTTATTTTGCCCCTTTAAACATTACGTATTGTCTCTACTTACCTATCACAGGTTTGAAGTTAAAAAGATACATCCACAAAACTTGCGCAAAAATAATCCATAATTTAAAATCCCAGCACAATTGTAATCCGTTCATTTTAACACTCCAATGAATTCACACATCTGATTAAATTATCCGGGAATAAAATGCAGATACATCTCTTTCGAGCACCCTCACTCAAACAATCCGACAAAGATTCGAACATGGAAAATCCGGATTTTTATCCCTGACTGTATCAGAGCACCCACTCTTAATAATCTCATCAAAATGCATGGAGGAAATTGAATGTCGTCTGAAAAAAAGCAATAAGTGGGATAAGATCAGTGTTTTTGTTCTCAGCTATCCGGGAAAAGTCCGGTTGTCTGTTCAATCCAGCTCGGAGTTCTCCTGGCTACTGTTAAAGCAAAGACAGGGAATATTTTGCTGTGATCGAACGAGGATTGTTCCACTGAGGCCTGAGGGGTGCCATCTAGTGTCCGGGAGCAGATGTATTGGAATTTAATATCTCCGGATTGTCCGGTAGCTGGACATTTTTCTGTTATGAATAATAGATGTAGCGTTGCACAAAAGCCTTGTTTCAATTTCGAAAAAATATTGGCTCCATAGAGTATTTATTTTGTTACAAAGTAAATATGATTTGAAATGTCTTGTTCTAAGGCAGACAGCAGTTGTTTGAATTTTTCATACAATGGAATGTTATGAAAAATTATTTTTTAAGAGAAAATAAAGACTGTAAATATAGAGATATTGTTAAAGTACTTCGATAAACTCTATCTATTAAATTTTAGTTTTCTTTTCTTTAATTTTTTTTAATCTTAATGTCATCGTCTTTAAATAGAAGATTCACGAAGTTCATGCGCAACTATCAAGGCCTTACATCATAACCTTGTTTATTTGAAAGACAACAAATTCCTAGTTTATGCAATTGTTGCTTTTATTTTCTATGTAACTTGAGTTTTATAGGTACTAGGTTCGAGTACTGGATGTAACTTTCTTTGTAGCTTGAGTTTTATAGGTTCGAGTTCAAGGATAGTAGTTACGAGTAATGGCATGTCGATATTTTCTTAAATTCAATTGATTGATTTTAGGTATGTTATAAACTACATTCCAGTAGGTACAGTAGGTACATTATTCCCGTCACACTGGAGCTGCAAAATGGGCCATTGGCGACAGTCTGCGAAACTTTTCAGTAAATAATTCAAANGAGTTTTATAGGTACTAGGTTCGAGTACTGGATGTAACTTTCTTTGTAACTTGAGTTTTATAGGTATTAGGTTCGAGTACTGGATGTAACTTTCTTTGTAACTTGAGTTTTATAGGTATTAGGTTCGAGTTCAAGGATAGTACTTACGAGTAATGGCATGTCGATATTTTCTTAAATTCAATTGATTGACTTAAGGTATGTTATAAACTACATTCCAGTAGGTACAGTAGGTACATTATTCACGTCACACTGGAGCTGCAAAATGGGCCATTGGCGACAGTCTGCGAAACATCCACGAGGATGATCCGAAGACATGCCATCGCAATTTTGATCCGCTGCACAGGGGATGGCTCCCCTTCTTTGGTAGCCAAGCAACCTGAGCGAGAAGTCGAGCACTTTACAGTAGAACAGTTTAGCGAGGACTAATACGAGGACTCTCGGTCCCTACGCAGGCAGATCAAAGTGGTCACCCACCAGCCTACTGACCACAGCCTTGACTTCGGTGTTTTACTGGGAACCGTGTCCTTACGATCAGTTCACTGTGGGGCAATTACATTCCATTATGACCCTTGAATACTTAATGCTCACTAAAAAGCTTAAATTGCTATTTACTGAATTCCCATTTGGAAAACGGGCAGGTATTTTTTTCCTTTTTGCTCCAGGTACCTAACCTGCTTTTATGAAATGTGCTATATGATACTGAAAGGTTAGATGGAAATACTTGTCTGGGACTTATTGTGAAATTTTTTTAAAATCTTTTTCTTCAATTGCGTTGTTTCAATAAATTGTTTTGCTTGATAATATGATTACTACGATTTAATTGAAAGTGTAAACATAAATTAGTATATTAATTGGTACTTAAATTTTATTTAAAAGCAATGTAATTGGTAAAATGAAAAAAAAAACATGAGTAAAGTACAAATGAAATACGGAAATGGACATACTATAGTTTCGGTTGTCTAAATAAGAGCCTTCCACAGAATCTGCACAACAAATAACACTGAAGAATGTTCTTGTTTAGATAACCGAAACTACAGTATGTCCATTCCTGTACTTTATTTGTCCTCGATTCCCGTTTTTTTTTTCATTTTAATCTAATTAACGCAACGTATACCTCTTAGTTGTTAGTATTGTTAATACAGCAGAAGATTTAGTTTCACAAATTTTCTGAGTAACTTATAAATGTTTTAAGTTTATCTTTTCAAATCCCCTCCTGATTTCAGTTAGACAAAAGGGTATTATTGTTGGAAAGTTAAATTTTTTTTTTAAGCTTCATAAATATTTTTGTCAAAAATTTTAGCTTTAGCAGCTAATTCACAGCCTAATACAGCCCTCAAAATGTCACCGTCGCAATGCGTATATTAAGTGAAATCCACTAGAATTTACGTTAAAAATTGCAAAAAAATTATGAAAATCCCCCAAGAATACTCTGTACACAAGAGGATTATAATCCATGATCTGTTTACATTTGAGAATTACGTGGTCTGGTGAGAGCTAGAGAGGGATAACCCAGTAATTTGAGAAATTTGAATCCGAGTTGTTTCATTAGGCAACGAGTATGCTTGCACCTAAACCACCAGAGTTTCTAGCTGTCAGAGAGATCATTTGTCACGAGATCCAATTCTGGTCTCTTATAAATTGTATCAGTGGGATATTTTACTGAAAGCGTTCAATGATGACGCAAATAATTAAATTAAATCATATTTACAATTTATAATCTGATTGAATTGCAATGTATTTCAACCCAAAAATTTTATTTAGAGGAGATTTTTCTCCAAATTGTGAACTACATTGTTTTAATTTTACATAACATTTTAAGAATTTTTATTTAGCATTTTTATTAAGTTGAAATGCTTTGAGGAAGTACTACAAAAAAAAGGCAAGCAAATTTTAATTTATAAGTAGTTTATTAAAATATACGTGGAACAATTTGACATAATTGATAAATATGTAACCTCATATATATAAAAAAACAATATGCGTGTGAATTAATGGCAATAAGTTACCATGATTTTCAAAAGCACTTTCATCAGTGCTTCGAAGCACGGATTACACAGTATCATGTCATATAAATAATAGTATCATGTCATATAATCATGTATCATGTCATATAATCATGCCATATTTTATTCTGACAGTTTTCTGTTTCTTTGTGCGTGCTTCAAATTTATTTTGTGACACAATATAAGCTTGTTATATTCGGTGTATAAGGAACATCTGGAGTCAAGAATATTGTCCTTGAGTAAAGCGCTCTGAAGTATGGCGTTCGTGGGTTCGAATCCCAACAAACACCTGGATGCGTCTTTACATGCTGCCCTTCTTTAATTTATGCAGTCTGTTCTACAATTTGACACCGGCATACACTTCTGCACAGGTTTGTGCGGGAAAAAAGTGTGCGTGAAAACATGTTTGGGTATAACACAGTACAATCAAATAAATCTGGGGAAAGTGAGGTCCCGCAGTGGACTGATCGTTAAGACATGGTTCCCAGCAGATCACCGAATTCAAGCATCACTGGCTGCGGTCAGTGTGTGGGTGGGTGACCACTTGGATTAGTCTACGTAGGGACCGAGGGTGTGCGGTATTGGTCCTCGCTAAACTGTTCTACAGTAAAGTGCTCGACTTCGCGTGCTGATCGTCGGGCTACCAAAGCGGGAGTGCCATCCCCTCTGCAGAGGATCAAAATTGCGAAGGATCATCCTCAGGGATGTTTCCCAGACCGTCGCCAATAGCCCATTGTGCAGCTCTAGTGCGACGTAAAATTAACTACAACAACTGGGGAAAGTGAGGAAATTGGAAAGAACTGAAATGATTAAAGGAATTCTTTCGGCTTCCAGAGGTACAAGGCAAACAATTTCGATAAACAGTCAGTAAACAGTTCGATTGAATTTTCGTACGAAGGAGTACGTCATTAGTTGTAGAAAAAAATATTACACTACTGTCTAAAACAATTACGGTAAAATGAAGTGACGCTTAGTGTGCTGGTACTTTTTTTTCATAAATTTCATTCTTAACTGAGCACGCTACGGAACAAAAAATGTGATATTATGTAATTTTTAGAATAATATTTATCATAAGGTCACTGTGAATCACTCTAATTAAATAAATACTACTAGAAATATTACGGTACAATATTTAGCGGTAAAAATAAATGGATTTTATGAACTTTCCACTGGAATAATAATTATGGAATCTAGAATTATAGTTAATTCAGAGTAGCATAATTTGTTTGTGTGTTCTTAATCTATCTGTGTAAATAGTTAAATATTTATGGGATCGTGGAGGACTAGGCTTCATAAGTTAGAGAATAATGACACTCTGTTGAGGAAAGGACCAGCATTGCGCACCAGTTGCCTTTACTTTACAGATATGCAGCTATACTTTTATTTGAGCAGTGGTGACTCAGGGGATATATAGGTGAATCAACTGGGTGAATCACATTTGAATCCCAGTTGTGGCTTATTGATACGAAATCTGCTTCTGCCTCACACCGACCAAAGTGCTGGCGTAAAATATCCTCAGAAGTAGATGGTCATGGGTTAGAATCAATTTGGCATCAGACTAACTATGGGAGGTTTTCGTGGTTTATTTCCCCATGTAAACCCTAGACGGGATAGTTTCTTCAAAGAGTCCTCTAGAAAGGCTGTTTACCCCAGTTATTATTCTAAGAGTTCCTATGTCTTCTGGGTCGGATTCAAAATTACAAGGCTATGGAGTTGAACATTAACAGTCGTAAACTCAGAATTGGGTCAACTCTTCACAAAACCGGTTATAAAATTAACTATACTTTGATTTGAGGCAGGGCATTCTTCAGGTTTTCACCGGAGATAGCACCGTGATTCATCATAATGACAGTTCATTCAGCGCCATTACTATCATTGATACCTTTGATATTTCAACTGATTCAACGCTTACTGTCTCTTGGAAAATGAACTAAGTGTGTCCTCTATTCTGAAAAAGTGCATTTGGACAGGCATCACACGTTGCGGGGACCTCCGGATTTGGTGCTTTTGTAAAATGATATGTGACCAAACAACCATTTTAACGCTGCATCCATTAATGTAGGCATTTTTACGATAATTAGCTCCGGCTTTCCAACGAATTTTTAAGACTGTGATACATGATTAACATTCTTTAAATATTCAAATTTCATTACCAGAACAACATTAACAATCCACATGTATAAAATGTATATCTCTCTGTTTACTTGGATTACACGCCGACCTGGTGGCCGAGTGGTTAGCGTGCCTGACTACAGAGCCGCTGGTCGCGGGTTCGAATCCTGCTCAGGACATGGATGTTTCTTTCTCTCTGTGTTCTATGGCCTTTCTCCATTGTGTGTGATCAGGGCTAAAGAGAATAGAAGGGCTGGTTCACTCCTTTGAAGTATCTCTTGCCGCGCCGATCCTCTGACGTCACTCTAGTGACGTCACTTTGGCGCAAAGCTCGCACTTTTACTTCAAGAACGGAGCGTTTGGCCTTACTAGCTCTAACTAATATTGGATCATTTCTTTTTGCGAGATATTCTAAGACATTTGTTATTTTCTATAATGACTTTCCTCAGTTTTTGCAGTGAATTTACAAGAATTTAAAACTATTATCGAAATGCCA